CCTCGGGGCAGAGCAGCTCCCACGCGGCGCCCCGCGAGCGTGGGCGGGCGGGCAGCACGCCTCCCCTTCCAGGAAACCTCGAGGAAAGCCTGCGCCCCATGAAATACGGGTTTTGACAGCGAAGGTGTAATTAGCCGACAAAATACTCAGAAATGCAGAAGAGCGCAGAGCGGGAAGAGACCCGAGCGGGGTAAAACATCCATTGAGAAACAGCCCCTAGTCAGCATCGCCGTGTCAGCAAAGCCCTGCCGGGATCAGGAGAGCTAAAAATAGGCAGGAGGGCTGGAGCAGGGATGCCACGGGGAGCAGGATGGGGGGTGTGGGGCCTCTGTCACCGCCCGGGGTCCCCTCCTGCGCGTCTGCAGCACGGGAGGAGGGGGAGGCGCAGAGCCTGCGCACGGCCTGTGCTCAAACGCAGGAAAGGAGAAAATCCCCGGTCTCCACATCAGCAATTTTCAGCCAGAAGAAATTTCAAAAAACCACCCCGAAGCCCGCTCTGGAAAAGCTCATTCGTGCTCATATTTTTCAGCTGAATAATTCAAGAGGAGAGGATTTATTGGACAGAAAAGCCGGCTGGGGCCTGCCCTAGGAGGAGCAGGAGAGGGGCTGGCTCATAGCCCGTCGGGGAGAGCTCTTACCAGCAGCTGTGGGACGGGCAGGGGCTTCCCCTCCTTGCTCAGGGAGACGTAGGTGAAGAAGGCGCTGACAGCGCGGTACCGCTCCCGAGGCTCGTCCACAAAGGGGTCGGCATCCACAAAGACCTCAATTTCCATGGATTTATTGCTGGTGAATGTCATGCGCCCCGAAATGGTGATGACACTGCCTGAGGAGCGGAGAGGGGCTGGTTAGGCAGGCAGCCCCTCCTGCTCAGAGGAAGGGAGCAAGGGGTCCTGCGTGTTCCATGCTTAAGCCACATCTTAAGCAGAACTTCTTGGCACAGGACAAGTCTAACAGGGACCAAATTTCTCTGCCAGTGTGTACCCAAGGGAGCTGGGATGCAGCACCGTGGGAGAGGTGCCTGCCACCACCTGCCGATACCTTTTTTGATCTTCTTGTGGAAGTTGATGGCATCCACCGAGGCGGTGACGATGTTGGTCTTGCAGTGGCGGGCGGCCACAATCCCGGCAACCTCGTCCATGAGCTTCATGGTGACACCTGGGGCGGGGGAGGCAGAGTCCCGTCTCAGGGAAGTCGGTGGGATTTGGGGAAAAGCCATGCAGGGATCGGTAAGGCCTTTGCACGACCAAAGCTACACCACGGAGTCAGACCAGAGCCTGAATCCCAACCGCAGGAAGCCCCCGGTACCAGCACAAGGACTCGCACCGCACGCGTCCGCCCTGCTCTGCCCGCCCGGGAGGCCGCGGGCACCGCCAGCCAAGGGGAAGGCACTGCCACACGTTGCAGGCACCGCACGCTGGAGTTTAAAATCCGAGATTCGCAATTTTTGTCTCAGCTGAAGCACCTCCGAACCTTACAGACAGCAGAGAAGGGCCCGCGCACCGTCAGCGGCAGAGCTGCCTCCCGAAGCACCGACACGCACGAGTTGCTCCCAAACCCCGCTCCTGCTCCAGGGAAAAACCAGCCCAGCCTTGGGACGAGGCAGCGCTCACTCACCTCCGTGCACGAAGCCCAGCAGCGTGCAGTCCGACGGTCCCACCAGGTGGATCAGGCTGGACTGGCTGTAGCCGACGGTGTGCGGCTCTGGGTAGAGACAGAGAGCGAAGCGGAGGTCAGAGCTGCTCGACCAGCCCCGGTAC